TACAATATTTTGGTGCCAGTCTTTGTATTTTCATATTCCCACACTGTATCTGATAGTGTTCTGCTGCTATTCGTAAGGTTTCCTGTGGCTAAACATTCAGAAGTAACCTGCCTCTTTCATCTAGTTTGTCTTATTCTGGAAGCGCCACTTTAACCTGTCCACCATGCGTGATCCTGTGGTATTTAAAATACTGATGGCATAACTTCCAGCATCACACCTATACACAAGCCACCACAGTATGACAAAATGGAGACAAGTGGTGGACAACAACAAAGTGAATCACCTATCTGGAACATCTTCACAGAAAAATATGAAATAGATGAATCTAGATGGGTTGTAAGGAGCTGTGGTAGAACAAAGATTAAACGTGTAGCTGCTAACTGAAAGGTTGGTGGTTTGAATCCACCCAGCAGTTCTTTGAGCGAAAGACATAGTCATTTGCTTCCATAAAGATTACATTGTTGCTGTTGTTAGTTCCTGTAGAGTCATGAAAACCCTATGCACAACAGAATGAAACACTGCCCCGTCGTAGGCCAGCCCATAATTGTTGCTATGCTTGAGCCCATTGCTGTTGCCACTGTGTCAGTCCATCTCTTTGGGTGCCTTCCTCTTCTCTGATCCTCCACTTTACCAAATATGATGTCCTTCTCCAGGGACTGCTCACTCCTGATAATATGTCTGAAGTATGAGAGATAAAGTCTTGTCATCCTGGCTTCTAAGGAGCAGTCTGACTACTGCCAACATAATTGGTTTGTTCTTTTGACAGTTCATAGTACCATCGAGTCAGTTCTGACTCATAGTGACCCTGTGTAGGGTTTCTGAGGAGTAGCTGGTGGGTTTGAACCTTGTGGTTAGCAGTCTAGTGCTTGTTTATCTTACAGTGCCACACTAGGAAGGTGCTATATTGTGCATCATTTAAGCAAACACTGCCAATGGTTTAAAACAAAGATGTGTGTCTTTTATCTTCACCATCTTAATAACCTTTTTAGCCTTAAGTTGGGCTAGACTTTGTGGAAATGAATAAGATGTGTTTACTATCAAGGAACTCCCTGAAAGTATCTGTCCATTGGACTTGACCCATGGTGGTGGCTTTATATATGATGAAATGGAGTCCTGACTGGCACAGATGGTTAGGCTTGGCCATCTGCTTCTGAAAACTGTAATTCATTTTTAGGTTGATTTTATTTTTACAGTACATGT